AAATATCAAGAAGTTTATACTATTCAATAATTTTAAAAGTTTAATATTCAATTTTTTAGTCATTTTAACAATTATTGAACATAATTGAAGGTAAGGTGACTAGTTTAATGCGCGGCATCCAGCCTCTTAACACAGCAAACAGGAGTTAGTCTCTCTCTGTTTTCACTGGAGGTAACATCTTGCTTGAGACTCTCTTCAACTAAACGCTTTTTTTCTGTGTTTCCAAGCAAATTATTGGTCATTTTGAAATATATTTTACATATTGACAATATATAATGCAGTGCAGTGTTGATTTAAAGAAAATAATCTTGAATCACGCCAAGAGAGCTAAAATTTTATGGGTGAAATGGCGCCATGGGGTGACTTCTCTTCCACCCCAATGCCTTCTCTTCTTCCTTCTCCTCCACCCCCATTCCAAATCCCATCATCATCATCATCATCCAGGAGCCTTCTACATACACACCTCAAAGTAAGTGAACTTTTCTACCATTTTTGTTGAATTTAGGAAATTTTCGGTGACCTGGAACCAATTACCCAAAACCCATCATATACGCGGGAAGCGGCGCGGGCACGATGCGCACAAGGTCGCCCAGTCATCAAAACATTACCGAGTTCTTCACCCGCCACCCACCACAGCCGGCCCAAGTCAGTGATAGTGATAATTATAGTGAGGATATGGACTTATATGGCCTTTGAGGGGTTTGACAAAGAGGCCCTGCAAGCCTCTGTGGTGGATAGTGATACAATTGATACAAGTGATACAGGTGAGGGCCAATAATCTGCCCTCTGCCTCAGAACCAACCCCCCATCCCCGTGTGCCCAGCCATCTTTTCTACTAATGCAAGTGTTAAAAAACCTAATATTTTTTATATTTCTCTTAATTATTAATTGTGTGTGCATACCATCATAAAGTTAAGATAAAATTTTTACTACAACATAGTTGTGTGTCGTCAAAAAGTGGAGTTTGGGGGTCAGGCCAGTCTCTATTGGAATTAATCCCATATGTTCTGTTGTTCACTTAACGCGGTTTTCACTTAACGCGGTACCTGTGGAGTTCAATTGACTGATGTTAAAATTTATATATATATATATATATATATATATATATATATATATATATATATATATATATATATATATATATATATATATATATATATATATATATATATATATATATATATATATATATATATATATATATATATATATATATATATATATATATATATATATATATATATATATATATATATATATATGTAGTTGTGCCTCTGAGTCAGCATTCTGTGGTCCCGGGAAACTCCCGTGGTCCGGAACAATTTTAGTTTGTCCAATAGGTAGATAGGCAACTTTTTTTCTTTTTTTTTTTTACTTATCTGAGTTATTATTATTATTATTATTACAGGAGTATTAAATTTTTGCCCCTCAGGCCCCAATGTGGGTCAGTGACCTATGCCCGGGTGGGCTAATCCCCGTAAAAAAACAACAAAGCCGTGGGAAATTAAAGGTTTGTTTACATCCGGCAGTTCGGCTGCTCTCTCTCTCTCTCTCTCTCTCTCTCTCTCTCTCTCTCTCTCTCTCTCTCTCTCTGCTTGTCTATACAGAGTACAACATTTAACCCTTCAATATATATGAGCAGTAAATAAGTGTTGCTTTCATATTCTTATGTAGAGTAATGATGATATGTTTTTACATGTGCGCACTTACATGCGCGCAGTCTCACTTTTTTTTTTACCAATAATGGTTAGCTACTTATATTGTTCCATTTATTAGCATTAAATAACATTACAGGTACTTCAAACAACCATATTAATTCTTTTACATTAATATTACTACAGCTAAAATCGGGGTCTTATTTTCTTCAGTTTTATATGTAGAACCAATCAGTCACTGGTTTTGTAAGCTTTAACATAAACAATGCCGGCAGCCATCTCGTCTCCTCTAATATTCCACCTATTATTAATAAATTGTATTGTTAATTTTGCACACACACACATTAATTCAATAAAAACAAATTCAGAAACATTAATTAAAATATATATGAACAGTAAATAAGTGTTGCTTTCATATTCTTATGTAAAGTAATGACGATATGTTTTCACGTGTGAGCATGCGCACTTACATACGCGATCTCTCTTTTTTTCTTTACCATTATCGTTAGCTACTTCTATTGTTCCATTAATTAGCATTAAATATCATTACTTAAAACAACCATATTAACTTTACTACAGCTACAACCAAGGTCTTATTTTCTTCAGTTTTATATGTAGAACCAGTCAGTCACTGGTTTTGTAATCAACGAAAACAATGCTGTGTCATTTCTTCGTGTGTTTCAATATTCTACGTATTATTAATGAATTGTATTGCTCATTTTGCACACAAACATTAATTCAATAAACAAGACATTCAGTAATAAACAATAATGAATCGTTTGTACATACGAGAAATGACGCTGTTTACACGATTATGCACGTTGGCAGGCCATTCAAACCCGCCGAAATTCAAGTTTCCCCCGTCAAAATGTTTATTTATTTATTTTTTTGTGTTCCAATAAAATTCATTGAATTAAAAACTCGCGAAATTTGAGAAGCTACTATACGACATTTAACCCTTCAATATGCCTTCAAAGAGACCATGATGCAGAGAAAGTGGTGCTAGTGCTTCCAAGCATAAGCACAAGTCACTATCTATCCTGGAAACGGGTGAATTTCCATGGTCCGGCACCGGTCAGGTCCCGAGGTTGCCGGACTAGAGAGGTACAACCTGTATATATATATATATATATATATATATATATATATATATATATATATATATATATATATATATATATATATATATATATATATATATATATATATATATAATATATATATATATATATATATATACAGTATATATATCATGTAAATCCACAGGTCCCTGTGGATCAGGGACCTGTGCCCGGGATGGCTAATCCCCGTGTAGTAAAAAAAAAAAATAAAAAATAAATGGCCGGGAACCCATCAAGAACAGATGTCTGGTCTCAACATAGAGTGAGAAACAATCACTCAAAACTATCTATAACCAAGTGATGGGGCGATGTCAAAGAAGTTATAGGTACAGAAAGCTGCCAGAGCTAATTTCTTTGGAGTTAGAACTGTGAACGCTTGCAATAAACTGGTTCAGGTGTATTCAAGAGCCCGAACATGTCCAGTACTGTACTTACCTCCAGTGTGTAAAGGAGCCACTCAACTGGCTAAAAAGCTGAAAAATTGCAAAGAGCCAGAGTAAGGTAATTAAAGTATTTTACTGTACTCACTTGGGGGTGGAGGGACGTAGTGCATGTTAGGTTCATACAGTCCCATCTTCTTGATTGCCTCATGGGACCGTTTGGTCTGAATGTGTGGTGGTGGAGTGTTGGAGGTGGAGATAAGGCAGCGGGTCCTGGGAGTGGCTTGGCTGGGGACTGTGAGAGCTTCCTGTCGGGGCAGTGACCCACCACCCCCTACCCAGCGCTCAATATGCCGCTGATGCTGCGAATTGACTGCCGCTTCCTGAAGGAGCTCTGAGTGGGCAATATCTTTGTAGAAATTTTTCTTCAAATGTTTTGAGTACATGATAATTATATTCTTCATCATAATTAAGTAATGAAATGTAATTAGTATAGAACTACAGTCATGCGCCGATTAATGTCTTAGATACGTTCTTGGAAACGTGACGTTAACTGAAATGGACGTTGTCCGATAATTACATAAACTTTTTATTTATACTTATGTGTATGTGGAATACTATATACGCACATATACACTTTTACAGTTAAATCACTACTGTAATATGATACAGGTGATTAATTTTTGTCTCTTGTGCAAAATACATGACGTTTATATTAAAATTATTCACTGTTTTACAAGGATTCCAGCAATGCCGAGCAGATGGGGGAGAGGGTGGGAGGGGGCATGGGGGGAGGGGAGGTAGTACGTTTGGCAGTTGGCACAGGCCCAGGTTTAACGCGTGTATATTTATCAGTTCTTAGGTGACTAAGCTTCTCTCTTATAAAAAGCCAGTGAAATGACCTGGGTGAATCTAATTAACATAGCTGGGATTCTTGTAACATACTGATTAATTTCAATATAAACCTGCTATAATTTGCACTAGACAAAACAATTTTAGTACCGTAATCAAATTAGTACATGTGCACTCCAGCTTTGCACTAACGTCATTTATTTCTATTACATTTCTTTTAGTATGGTGTGTGCATGTAAATGGATGAAAATAAATGAAGAAATCTATGTAAATCTACCCAAAAATACAGTTGAAAAACTTGTTTATAAAATGTACTACAGTACTGTACACTAATGTACAAAATTTTTTATCTCTCGAGCAAAATATATGACGTTTATATTCAAATTATTGGCTGTCTTGCAAGGATTCCAGCAATGCAAATTATAATCTCCTAACTTTAGTCTGAGATATTATATAAGATAAAAACTGTAAGCCTAAAAGCCTGGCTGGGGGGGGAGGGGGGGACTGACGGCTCAGCCACCCAGCGAGGGGTGGGGGGGTGGGGGGGTTGAGGTGATAAGTTTGAGGCGAAGGTCTCTGTGTGTTTATTTAACAGTCCTACCAAGCTACTCTCATTTTAAAATGCCAGTGATATGAACTAGCAAAATCTAATTAACATAGCTGGAATTCTTGTAAGATACTGATTTATTTGAATATAAACATGCTGTAATTCACACTAGACATAACAATTTTAGTACAGTAATCAAATTAGTACATGTGCACTCCAGCTTTGCACTAATTTATTTTACGTTTCTTTTAGTATGGTGTGTGCATGTAAATGGCTGAAAATAAATGAAGAAATTTATGTAAATCTACCCAAAAATAAAGTTGAAAACCTTTTTATAAAATGTACTAGAGTATTGTACACTAATGTACTACATTTTTTATATATTGAGCAAAATATATGACGCTTATATTCAAATTAATCTCTGTCTTGCAAGGATTTCAGCAATGCAAATTATATTATCCTAACTTTAGTCTGAGATATTATATAAAATAAACATAAAGAAATCACCAATCTTTCGTCTGGGAACACAAGGAGGGTGGGAAGAGGGGGGAGCAGGGGGCGGGAGGTGAGGTGACAGAATGTCTGGCGTTTGTTTGTTTATTTATTTGAGATAAGATTTGACAGTTGGCGCTGAAGGCCTGCCTGCGTGTTTATTTATCATTACTTAAGAGTGACTAAGCTCTTCTCATAATTTTCCACCCAAACGACCTGGGTGAATATAACTTACATTGGAGGGATTCTTGTAAGATAGTAATTTATTTGAATGTTTTTTTTTTCAATTTACATTTTAATTGTTTATTCCTTGATAGAGGAAGCGGGATCCTAGTGCTGTCACTTGGCACCCCTGTACCATAGCACCAGAAGCAACTGGCCAGTGTCACAAGTATATACAGTACAGTACAGTCATCCCTTGGTTATCGCGCCTAATTGGGACCCCACCGATAACGAAAGTACAGAACCTACGGGATTTATTCTAATTGGTTCATTTACTCAAGACCCAACCCCAAGTATCACATTTTACGACCATTTAGACCCACTAAATATATATATAATGTTATGGTAAATATCATAAACACACATAGGCATGGCTAGGTTTATTACAAAGTGATGAAAAGGGTACGCTTAATACTGTAGTCCACAAAACATGTAGCTATGCTTTTTTTATTTGGTCCCCCGTCATACGAGTCCGTTTTCTCTCACATCAGGACGCCTGAGTCCTCCGTTTTCTCTCTTAATCTTAGAGTGCACTAGAAACTTTACTATTTTTAGTAATGCCACAGAATTTGAAATTGCAACCCCAATTGCAACTGGGGTTGCAATTGTTGAGGCAACTAGATATGTCTGATTACAGCAAATGTGTTATTGTCAATTTGTAGGTGAAAGATTTTATCATCAATAGATGAAGGTTAACATTTCACCTGTAGGCAAATGCTTAAACAAAGCCTAAGTAAGGAAGCATATTACTTTAACACATAATATCTGACCAGTATGGGGAGGATCATCATGTCTCCGTCAGGGGGGTCGTGGAGTGGTGGTCCAGCATGCGTCACGTTTTATTTTTGGGGGGGCATGGATGTATATGCGATCGGACGTTGTTCGGTCGGACGTTAACCGGCGCATGACTGTATTACCATATTTTACGGCATATCAGATGCACTTTTTTGTCTGAAAAATGGCTAAAAAATTGGCCTGCATCCTATATGTGAACTTGTGGTCTCCCGTAGGATAATGAATCCCACAGTTGCTGTCTCCAGTAGACTAAATTCTACCTAACCCAACTCCAGAATTAAAAACATATTATTGCTCAATAAACACATTATTTTTGTTCAATCCAGAATGTGACGCCTAGCTTATACCTAGGTATGTTAATGCCTAGCAATAACTCGCCAGGCCAACATACAGGCAATTAAAATATCTAATAATTACTTTATAAGTAATATTAGGAGGACACGTCGCTACCTGGCATTTAATTGCAATTCTCAAAACCCCCTCCGTCACCCTCCATCATACGCACTGCCACCGTCATCTTCTTGCCTGGCGAATTAGCTGTAAAGACACACAAAGAAGGCACCTCAAATTTGTGTTGTAATTGCTGAAATACTAAGTGCCACGAGGATTTTATATACGGTATTTATAAATCTTAGCACAGTAAGGAAATCTCGAGTGACTTATTTTGTTTATGTCTCTCAATTATTGTGTTTGGGGCAAATTCTTATATGATCTCTGGTGAGCATCATGGAGATCACAGCGCGTCTTCTTTTATGAAGTTGCTAGATCATTAGTGACTACAGTAAGCCCCCGCTTTACGTGGTTTCACTTTACGCGTTTCCACGTTTACGCGGTACCCTGCCGAACACGGAATGCTCACTTTACGCGGTGTATGTACCCTCTTATGCGGAGAGCGGTTGGCGGTCCTCTCGCGCCACGCCATTTTTGGATCCAAACCTCCCGCCATGTTGGGTAAGCGGTGCGAGTAGGTTGCGCAGTGTATGTCTTTGTTGCGTTATCGGTGACGTCATATGACGTATCGGACTGTGAGTGGGCCTAGCATCCTTACCTCCCTCCCCGCTAGCTGTGATTGGTTTAATGTACTATGACGTGCCCCGCCGCGGGAGCGTTCAAGCCCCTTGACCTACCCGCGTCAGTTACACCCCTCCCGGCTACACCGTGTATATCGGTATCCATTGTTCCATAAGAATGGCTTCCACCGGACCACCACCACAAAGAAACCTTGCATTACCTGGACCCAGCCGCCTTAAGCCAAAGAAGATACGACGTTCCTTAAGCTACGAAATTAAGTACAAGATCATACAAGAGTTGGAGAAAGGAACAAGACAGGTTGATCTCGCGCGCCAGCATGGTGTTAACGAATCAACTATGAGGACAATTAAGAAGGATGCAGCCAAGATAAAGGAGCACATGAACATCACAAAGTCTACAGGTGCTTCTATGATCAAGTACTGCCACAACCAGGTGCTTCTCAAGACGGAGAAATTACTTGTGAGCTACTTGGTTCGTCAGGCGCTACGGAACATGGCGGTGGACACGCGCTCAGTTAAGAAGTACGCACTTGAACTGTATGCTGCAGTGTCACGTAAGATGGGAATTGCAGAGCCCAAACCCTTTAATGCTTCTTCTGGGTGGTTGCAGAGTTTTAAGAAGAGGAACAAGATCACCAATATTAACATTGGTGGTGAAGAAGCTAGTGCTGACCGTGTTGCCGCTAGGGAATTTCCTCAGTTTTTACGAGAGATTATGGAGGAAGGACAATATACCGACGACCAGGTGTTTAACATTGACGAATCTGGTCTTTTTTGGAAAAAGCTACCTTCCAAGACCTTCGTTGTGAAGAATGCCAGCAAGTGTCGGGGCTGGAAGTTGCAGAAGGAACGCATCACCGTCCTGTTTACCACCAATGCCTCCAGTACCTGTAAGCTCAAGTTATCGGTGATCAACACAGCACGCAGGCCGCACGCCTACAAGAGCATGGACATGACCAAGCTAAATGTTCACTGGCTGACCGCACATAAGGCGTGGATGTTCTCTACTCTGTCCCTCTCCTGGTTTGATGACTGTTTCGTTCCTGACGTGAAGAAATTCTGTGAGCAACACAATGTTCCATTCAAGATTTTGTTGCTGCTTGACAATGCACCAGGACACTCGCCCCTACTATTAGAGCGTCACCCCAACGTAAAAGTGGTCTTCCTTCCTCCCAACACTACGTCTATAATACAGCCCATGGACCAAGAATTGATCTGTAATGTGAAAGCTGCATTCTCTGCCAAGAAATTTAAGCTCCTAAACGACTACACCAATACCAAGGAAGAGTTGCGTAACCTGGGGGACACGGATATGAAGAGCGAAGACGACGAGGAACAACAGTTGGCAGAGCAAGAAGTACTTGTGAAACACTTTTTGAGGAAATTCAACGTCAAGAAAGCTGTGGACTTCTTGGTGAAGGCATGGGATCAGCTGTCTGTAGCAACGGTTCGTCA